AAAACAATGACTAATGGCCATGACTTTATGCTGCCTGTAATTATTCTACGTAACATCTCACACTCGTCACACACATCGCAAACCTTTCTTTGTCTTTTAAACTAACCTTTAACTTATCCAGAAAGTTTTCTAATGCCAGCAACACTTTGTTCCACCTGATAGCTAACTAAAGACGCAGTCACACCAAATACACTCGCCAAACATAATTCCCTTGCTGTTGTGGATTGAGCTTGCCCTATCAACATCGAGGCAACTTCAGAAAGAGGCTGGGATTGACCTTTCATTCAGAAGGTACTGAGTTTTGCCTTTTTTGTGTTTGCATAACTGTATGGTGAAGGAAAAAACGAGCACCATCTGCATGGCTGATAGTGAGTACAAGGGCAGGGTAAATAAAATGTTTGAAAAAATCATGTATCATTTATCTACTGTGGAATGCTAATGTTAGCTGGCTAGCTTGTGCTTGCAACACTGCCCACACTATTTCCTGCCCCACCCGCTGTTTGCCATGGCAAGCAAGTAAATTTAGATCTTGACAGTTCTGGTCTGACCGCGGCATAATACAACCACAGCTTTCGCATGTTGGCCACTGAGCAGTAACGCTAGCGCTCAAGAAGAACCCATTTACCCAGCCAAGTCTTCCCAAAGAGACTAGGGATTGAATCCAACAACCTTAAAGTCATAAGATCCCATCTCTAAACTGGAGGCTTTTCTCTGATTATTAGTTTATGGAAACAAAGGTAATATGTAAATATGTTCAAATCAAGCCGTACATCAAGTACAATAACCTTGCAATGGTCAGACACAAAACTCAGTGACCTGACCTGATTCAATATGCTGACACCTAGAATGAGTGCGCAGTAAACTATGATGCTGTTCTGAGACCAGTAGGAGGAGGACCACCCAGCAGTGGAGCTAATCCCATAGCTGCAGGGTTGAGACCTTGCTGCGTGCATACTCTGACAGGCTAGGCCACTCCTGGATAGGATATTAGAGAGGGGCAAAAGTACAATGGCACCTATTGATGACTGGTGTTTCATCCTGCCATGATCTACTCTGCTTTTGGTGAGAAAGAATTATCAAGTGAGTCTCTCTTGGTTGGTCACCTCTCTTTTCCCACCCTCTGCCAGCTGACTAAAACATAGTTCTGATTGGAGGTGGGTGATAGCAGTGTTTTTAAAGACCAGATTGGTTGTCAAATGATGGTTAATGCGGTTCCTCTGAGAATAACTTAAAATCAAACCATCAGACAGCCTATCGTAAAACGGACTGCTTTATAGATGGCTAGATCACATGGTTTCTTGTCTACACCTTAAAGAAATTAAGAAGGCACCCTTTACTGAACATATGAGGGAGAGGAACTAATTGTACTGTACTGTACTACTGTACCATATTGCACCATATTCTATCGTGTTTTACAGTTTACTCTTGTTTGTTTTATTTTGTATATCTATATTTGCTGGTATTTGTTTTCTGTGTTGTAAAAAAGGAAACATTTCAGGAATTAAAAAAAACAAAAGCATCAGTGAAAGTCACAAAATATATTTGGTAACACTGACATGATACAAATAACAGTGGGTATCAATCCGTGACTTTTTGGCGAGAAAGAGAGAGAGAATGATCTCTGCCTGCAAGTTTCTGGAAGAAAATGAACTGGGTATAATGTGGTTAATTTAAGCATACAGCCACCAGAACAAATTGATTGGATGTAGTGTTGCAGCCCGGCAGCGTCTGCTGAGATGCAGAGACTTATAAGAAGCCCATTGGCACTACAGAGGAAGGTTGATGAAAGATCAGCTTTATGCAAATACAAGTGACAACCAGGCAAGAGCAAATCAAGCTTGTTCTGATTCCCACTGAAATTGAAGCACAGAGTTGTTTACTGCTCCACTAATGGAGTGGGGGAATCGCTTCCCCTGCAAATACAGGATTGCAATGTCAATCAGTCTTGAATACATGTGTTGTATTAAAACAGTTTTCAACAGTGCACACAAAGTTAAAAAAAAGACATTTACTGTTCTGTTCTTGGGAAACAAGCTGTGCTATAATGTATTTGACCATTTAGCACCTAAGGTTACTGTGGTCTCCACTTTGAGCATCGACGGCTTGGCAGAAACAAAGAGAAGGCCCACTGCTGGTTCTGCTTTAGCCCGTCAAACAGACTCACATCAAACACAGAGCCAGCGGCACTCTACAAGATATAGAGATGAAGCGAGAGAAGAGAAGAAACAGAAATAAATGGAGAGGGAGTGACAGAGATGCACTGATTCAAAGGAGCCCCCAAAGTGGAAGCCTTCGGATAAACAACCAATCAGAAAAGGGTCGCTGTCTAGCCCAATCAGAACACATTCCAATGAGAATCCTCTCCAGACCCAACCAACTAACCCCCCAGAGGTCTGCACAAAAGAATAAGACACAACACACACACGATGTGACTAGATACACAGCAGCATCTTAACTAAGGTCTTGTCTGGCCTTATACCACGACTAAAACCCAAAGAGTCTGTCTTCAATCTTCAATCTTCAAACCGCCAGTCTCAGTCCCGGTAGTCTACTATAACTGTTCATCACTTTGTCCCTCCAGGCAACACGTGTGCAAACAGTTCTGTTTGTATGTGACATCGTGTATGTGTGTGTCTGTGTGTGTGTGTGTGTGTGTGGGGGTGTGTATGTGTGTCTGATTCCATTGCAGACGGATGGAATTGGTGTCTGGGCTCATTCTTGGCAAGGATACTCTTGTTTCAGAGAGAAGAGCAAGGATGATAGTTGCGGGATGCAGGATAAAAGGATGTCAGTGTGAGTGTGCTTGTGTGTGTGTGTGTGTGTGTGTGTGTGTGTGTATGTGGGTGTGTGTATGGGGGCGGGGGCCTCATTGTATGTCTCGCTGGGTTTGTTGAGTAGCTAGACTTCCTTTGGTCTGGAGTAACAAGAGTACAACATGCTAAGTAACAAGGGTGCTGGGATTTGTCTGTGTGAGAGTGTGTGTGCATACACAAACAAGTTTTTGCTTGCCTGCTTACAGTACGTGCGTGTGCATGTGCTTGCATTCGTGTCTCTGCCAGTGTGTGTACAGGGTTGCATGAGAGTGTGTGGTTGTACAGATCCCCTCTTGGCAGCAGCAGTGTAAACTGAGGAGGGTCTTACATGGGCTTTAATCCTGTGCTGAATGTCATCGTACAAGTGTGGCTTTTCCACAGGCCCAGATAAGAGAGAGAGAAAGAGAGGGAGAGGGAATTCTAATGCACATGTGTGAGTTGTATGCATGTGAGCATAAGTGCATACATGTATGAAAGACACCCTTGTAAAGTAGCCTGACCCATTGGTTTGATGACAAGGATTATAGCAGTGACATACAGTAAGTTGTAAGGGACAGACAGAGCAGCTACAGCACTAATCTGCTTGTCTAGTGATCTAGTGACAGAGAGAGAGAGAGGCCACTCTGGCATCCAATTCTAAGGTTTCACTGGAAAACACAACCTGGCTGAAAACTACTGAGCCCAACAAGCTGAGCTGTGTTGGAATATCTTTCGTTCAGGCCAGGGGTTTTTACACTTTTTTCAGCGTGGGGCCCAAATGAGAAGTTTATTCTGTAGCCCCAAGACTCAGGGGCTTTAAAACATTTTACTACCCATGTCATATGGGTACCCTGCAGCAATAGGCCGGTGAGCCATTTTGGGATTTGAAGCCTAAGTTCAACAAACACTACGCAGGTTTGAATAGGTCACTGATAGAGAATGTCAGCGACACGTCTTTTGAGGGAAAGAAAGCTTTCATAACTAATTACACTGCAAGACATCAATTATGATAAAAAGTGTTGTTGTTCCGACCAATGGCAACGCAGCACATCTCGCTTTTTACAAGCTTCCCTGACGTTGGAGACCTTTGGGAAAGTGTTGGAATAGCGTGAGAAATAAACTGCAGCCTACTGTTATACAAGGCTTAATTAGTGGGCAGCTCTTAATGTTGAGTGGCAGTCCAACGGTTGTTGATGTTATTACAGTAGCTCCGCGATAGCCTAAGTTATAAAGCCTCTTCGCTGACTCTGCACTAGGATGCATTTCAGCAGACGGAAACAGGTAAATTCCTGTTAGTTTTCCTCTTCAATCCTACAAGGAGCGTCCGATAGCAGCTCTGGCATTTCGAGAATAGGGAAAGAAAATAGTGAAATTCCTTCTGCTATTACTTATTAAAATACATTTAGTGTTATTTCTCCACCACAGTGTTTCCAGGTGTCAATCTTGATCATAAATGTTTGCTTTCTATTAGGAGATTTAAGTGTGTGTGTGTGTGTGTGCGTGCGTGCGTGTGTGTGTGTGTGTGAGCAGTGGTGCTTGAGTTGAGGTATCACAAGTGCTGTATGTTGCAGGATGTGCCATCCTTTAAGTGAGCGGTACAATATCAGTAGTGATCAAGTTTCACATAGTAAAGTCAGCAGGTGTGAGTCTCCTCTCATCTCCCTCTGCCTGAGAGCAGTGGGCACGTCTATGATTGGCAGCCTAGGGGTGGGTCTATATGTTAAAAACACAGTTTGGGGAATAACGCAGGACTTACCCAAGACCTGAGGCTGTGTGATATTTTTAGTGCTTTTGATTTGTGTGTGTGTGTGTGTGTGTGTGTGTGTGTTTGTGTAGATGTGTGTGTGTGTGAGAGAGAGAGAGAGAGAGAGAGAGAGAGAGAGAGAGAGAGAGAGAGGAGAGCACAGGAAGTCTGAGGAAAATAACAGGTTTAAAGTCAAAAGGCTGTGATTCCCTTTTCTCTGTTTCCAAATCCCTATACCTCCCTCATTCAGTGCCTCTTTGTGGATGTTCAGACTTTCTCTTTGGGATGTAATCCGTCTTCAACAGGGGATCTGACCCACTGAGAGTTCTCTTATGCACAATTCTGCTCTCTAGCCCTCAAGCACGCACACACAAATGCACGCAATTTCTCGCCGGTGCCTCCCCAGGTGCGAGTTTCTCCGGAGGGAAGGGCTTTTGTGTGCTGCCATCTCAATAAGCTCACAAAACACCCTTATAATCCCACCAATCTCTCTCTCCCTTTCTCTCTCTCTCTCTTGATCTTTCTTTCACACACACACACACACACACACACACACACACACACACACACACACATACACACACACTCGCTCTCTCTCACACACAACTGGCTGCACAGTAGGAACTTGCTTTAGACATTGAAATAATAAATATGTTTTCCCATTTGGACCCCAATATCCCACAGATTCACGACAATGTTAAGATCTGCATTTCTAATCTTGGTCTATGTCAGTATGCCACAAAATACTTGAATGTTTCTTGTGGCAGTGGCATTTGGAGAAGCAATGGAGATGAGGGGAAAACAGAGGGGAAAAGGGGAGGGAGGGAGAGAGAGATGAAAAATAGCTACAGCTTGAGGTGTACTGATTTATGACTGTGGGCTGGCTGGGCCATTTCTGCACAGAGAGCAAACCAGAGTTTACAGACAGACTGAATCACACCTGGCATGTTCAGACAGAGAAGGGAAGATGAGGTGGTTTAGTAAAACTATTTCAGCTTATGGACATAACGTATCAAACATTGATGTTACAATGATTATAATTTAGGTAAGGTAATCACACATCCATGCCATGTAAATGTGCATATATATATATGCCCAGCCAATCAGGATAAAGCCATTTTTGAGGGTTAATGTTACAGCAGTTGCCACATTTTTGAGATTATGAACCTGAGCCAGTGAATTAGTGGTCATAAATGAGAAAGCTCTGCAGCGTCATTTCAATTACATACTAGAGAAAGAAAAGTAAGTGCTTATTGTCTTCTGGCAGGCATGTTTGTGCACTTGAACGAATAACGTCGAACAACACTGACTTTGAGAAACACTTAACTACCTTAATGCTTTAAAAAAGCTAGAGAGGTCAGAGCACTGAGCACTGAGCCCAGTTCACAATGAGAGAGAGGCAGCACCGGGGATTAGGGATGTCGACCAGACAGTATAAAATACAATCTTCAAAAGGTCCTGCGACGAGCTTGACAAAAAGTAAAAAATGCCCTATCTGGTTTAATGTTACATTTTTACTCTAAATTCACCTAAAAGTTGATACTTAAAAAAAAACGGAACTAAACTGCTAATAAAATGAAATCCTTGAAAAATATTAAAGAAAAACTCATTTTAAAAAGTGCAACTGAAATAACCCTGGGGCAATGGACAGCGTGACCAGTGGTAATATCTAGGCTCATGGCCCACTGTGGCTGCAAGGGGATGCTGACTCCGGCAACCATCAGCGGCCATACGACAAATCCCATTTTGGTCCCCCTTGGTTGGCTTGGATGAGAAAAAGGCTTGTCACTTTTGAATACAGTGTTAGAAGACTCAGAATCACTTCCATCATCTCCGCTCTCAAGTGGATAGCAGATATGTTATGGTCAGCTGAGGTGAGCCCTTAACAATTAACTGGCTGTTAAGCTCCTAAGACGGTTTGTTGTGGTTCCCCCCATCAACTGGATTGCCTGAACAAAACTGCTTACAACTTAAGTATTTGCTCTTGCAAATTTGCAGCATAGCACGAGCGATTGTGTGTGTGGCCATGTCTCTGCGTGTGTAATGAGTGTGTTGTGGGTGGGGAAAAAGAGCTTACTCAGACAAACTGCCTTATGATCCACACATCAGGTGTCTAACTGTCCTCTCCAGCGTATAAATTCAAGAAAACCACAAAAAACAGGAATAAACTTGTCTGCCTCACGACATTGCCAGTCCATCTTTCCCTCCTACCTCCTTCCCCAACCTCCTCCTCCTCTGTCAGCTGGGGCTGAAGAAGCATCTCTGGATCCTGTCTGTCTACAGCTTCATACATCGACAGTGACAAAGCAACTCTATCACCGCTCTTCATTCACCTAGTTAACGGTATTAATTTGCAAGGCATTTTAAAAAAGCAATACGTCATTGTGAAATTAATCATGATGCCACAGTATAACAATTATTCAAGATGATTAAGACCCTGATCGGACAGAATGCATTTTAGCAGCCCAACACGGCTTTTTGTAATTGTTTTTCAATGAGAGTGAAGCGTTCTGCGCGTTGCGGAGCACTTCCCAATTTTCCACTCTGTGCATCCCACGTTTTTGCAAGACCGCCCCGAAATCTCGGGTTCAAACCGTAGTTACCATGATCTGAACAGAAAACAGTAGGCCTGGAGGCAAATTGGTGCAGTACTTTAGATTTCGGGTAAGTTGTTTTCATCAATTTAAACTGTGCTGTTTGTATTAGGTAGCATACAGTTCACGGTTGAGCACACATTTGATGGCTTTGTCTTAGCGAGCAACTGTCTTCTATCTCACACCAAAAAAAAACCCTCCCTTTTCGCAAACGGGGTTTTCGAATTTGCTGCAGAATGCAAAATTCCTGCCCTACTTCAGGGAAAATGGGTTTTCTAAACATGTATCAACTATTGTACTGATGAGTAAAAATTAAGCACGTTTAATATTTTGTTCGTTTTCAGCAACTGCTGCCTTTAGTCTTGGCTCTGTGCTCTGTATACAGAGGTGCAACAGCACGTTGCACCTTCACAAGAAAAGGGCCTTTTGGAAAATAACTCAGGTGTTGTTTCAGGATGGACTGAAATAGATACAACATAGAGCGCACCCAGATGTTGTTGCTCAGGTGTTGCTGAGTTATCGACTTCTCTCCACTCATGTTCAATCTGGTGGAACAACCTTTGACCTCATAGACTGATGATGCTGACAGCTGGCTGAGGGATGGCCTCGGTCAGACGCCTCTACTGACCTGCGAGCTGTGGTTCACTGGTCACCAAAGACATACTGCACAGCACGGCTTAGCACATGTGTGAGGAGATACTTACCCAAACATTATCCAAATGCCCACACAAGTATGTGTGAACACGTGCACAGGCGTGCAGATGCAGATGTAGACTAAACTCCTGAATGTCTAGAAAATCCAGAGTGAAACCAATTGATTTATTAATAAAGACTTACTAAGTGTTGATAACATGGGGCCTTTACAAAAATATGTGCCGTCACCTTACAGTAATTAATGCGTGGGGTGATAGTTGTTTACACTGGAGATTCATCCTGGCACAAAGTGCAGAAAAAGTGGCAGAGCCGGCTCGACCATGATGTCGCTGGCAGACTTTTCTTTCAAAGACAACCTTGAATTAAATGTCATGGCATTTTGTTTGCTGTTTAGAGGAATGTGAACATGGTGTCATTAAAAGACAGACACGTCTGAGTTGTAAACTGCCATCATCGCAATTATAAAATTGTAGACAATGAGAGGTGCAGTAATTTCCCACAGTCAATACTGTCATGTTCTTTTTCTCCAATATCAATTATATCCACTGTGAGGGTGGTTTTGAGGTTTCATTAACAACCTGAAGATAAGAGAACACATAGAAGAGTAATCTCAATATTCATAAAGCCATACCATTCTTACTGTCAACAATTTGACTAGATTATGGATAAAGTTAGATATGCTGCCCGTGAAGTTTTGCACCCACCTCAAATACAACTCACTGAACTATTTCTCTATTACTGTCACTTTCACATACACAGCAAAACAAATATATGTTTTTTACTAGTTCTGCATTTTTCTTTTTTAAGCTTGGTTCAATTCTAATTAATTATTCAGTCAAACTAAACTAAAAATACAAGTAAATTTCCCGTTTTAAATGCGATCGTTCTCCATTTCATACTGGCTTACCTGCAAATGAAGAATTCAAATTAATAAAAAGGGCCTTTTGGAAAACAATTTAGGTATAAATTAGAAGAACACCCTGCAGGGCTTGCAAAAAACATACGTCTGCACACCACATTTTTCTTTTCTTTTCATCTTTGCAGTAGCTGTTGAACCAACTATCTGAAAAAGATTCTGCTGGCACTGATTCAAAATGGGATACATATTTACGTTATATATATTCTGCAAGTTACAGTATACAACCTACTCATTGATATCAACTAAATTCATCATAAAATCAAGCATAATTGAAAAGCAAAAAAAAGGGATATCAGACAGAAAACACTGTAGGAACGCTACAATACCACCAGAATTGCGAGATACAGGAAATAGCAGATGAATGGCTCACTGCATAATATCAAATCATATGTAAGGCAGCAGCAAAACATATTTTAACCACTTGAAATACTTATTTATTGTAAATTATGAAATTATTTATAATATCTTTATCTTGCTGTCCGACAGCTCTTTCCGACAGGTAACAGATGCCAATAACTATGCTCACGCCAAAGCCAACAGACTCTTTTGACAAAAACAGAGTTTTTGGTTTGTTTGTGTTATTGAGCGACTTTAGTGTTTTATTTTTTTTTTTCACACTTTATTTTTCTGCTTTTCACAACTTTAGTGTTTTAAACGGTTAGTTTGGATTCAACAAAGTCATACAATAGAAAACGGCTTCAGTTTCCTGTCAGAACGGGCTGTCTGACAACAAGGTAAGGCAGTGAAAATATCTAAATACAGCATACACTTTGACTGATATACATTTTCAAGGAAGGCTTTTTTTAAGGCTTTTTTTCAGGTGGCGAAAACATTTTGCTGCTACATCTACTGTAGGAAAACCACTGACTATGGATGAGTACCTCATACAACCCCACATAAAAAAAATGTAACTTTCACTTAATTGTATTTTAAAATAGTACATTGGATTGACAATCTGCTCTCCAATTTCAGTTTCCCACTGAACTTTTCTAGACTTTTCCCTGCGCATATAGATACTTACTGGCAGACACAATGTAGATATACAAACACTGTATTTAGTGCAAACACAGCATGGGCAAATGAAAGCCATCTTCTTGACTTGTTTTGACCTGAACAAGGCCTCACTCCTTCCTGCTTGCACGCACACTCGCACACACACACACACACACACGTACACAAACATATTTCTGTCCCCACTTGGAAAGCCTCTCAACTTCTTTTCGCTTCATTCAGTACAAATAACTTCACGGTGGGATAAAAGCATAATGTTTCCAGAAAACCTCCCCCCCCCCACTTTGCTTCACTCTTTTGGCCCCATGTTCTCCTTTACTTTTTCCTCCAACCCCCTTCTCTTGTACTCTCTGTCCAAGTGGACATTCTTATTTCATTAGAGGGGGGTCTGGGAGGCCAAGAGGGTAAACAAAACCTCTGTAATCAACAGCAGGACATACACAACCACAATGAGCCAATCAGAGCACCAGTGTCCTTTTAGAGAGAACCATGGCTAACCAATACAAATCCACACCTGGAAGCTCAGAACTTGAACTTGCCAACTTCAACTCAGCACTTAGGTTTTGTGTGGAATTCAAAATGTAGCTGAGCACTGGGAGTCAAGGTTATCCATGAGGAACACCAATCAAAGCATGCATGTCTGCAAAGACATCAATACACACACATACACACAGATCCCATTATTTGTCTATCGGTGCTGTCATCTCTGTTTGCTCATATTAGAGAGGGCTCACTCAGGGACAGGATATGGGGATTAGGTCTGGCCTTATTGCGCTGTAGCTACACACCGCTAAATGGCTCCCATCTGTTCTCCCATTGAGAATGGCTAATACACGTTAGCTGTGCTCGCATTGTGCACTGCCAGAATAACAGCAGTGGATAGATGAGCAGCACTGATATCGCTAGCCACAACACCATTCTGTGCTAAAGGCTAATGTGCCTGGCTTATTCTATTAGATCGGGATAAGAAGCACTAATACGCACATGCATACACACACACACACACACACACGTGCAAACACGCACCATCACAATATCTGATTGGAGATACCGAAGCAGTAGGCTAGTCACGGATCCAGCTCTAGGTTTACCTTGAAGTACGATACGTTAGAGCTGGGCAAGCGAAAAACTAGCAAGAGGTGGAAAGAACAGGAGTGATGGAAAAGAGATGGAGAGATGGAAAGAGAGGGAGAAAGGGGGCAGTGTGGTCTGTTTCATTACGGTGAATCCTGACACTGCTGCATTCTCAGCACACATGGACTGGATTATAGGCTATGTGGGCTGCTCCGGCACTGTATAGCTCAGCAACGCTCTTTTGCACACACACACGCACACACACACACTTGCAAATGTACACACAAACATAATAGCTAAACACACTAAAGCTTTGCACTGCAGGAACACAAACCATTTGCTATAGGACTCTTAATCCCAAAAGCAGCACTAGGGCAAAGTGCACAACTACTAAGTCATTGAGGTTAGAGACAGAGTCTTCTTGTGATGGTCCACCTGTGGATTACTGGGGGAAAAGAATGAGATGCACTGGAAACTATGAGTATACAATGCTGTCTGGTTTTCTCTCTCTCGCTCTCATTCCCACACAGATACATAAGCACTCTCCATCTTTCCCTCTCTTTTCTTTGTCTGTGTTTCTCTATCTCTGATATGTACATTTACATGTCTCTATTTTTCGCTGCCTCTCTTTGTCCTACACACACACCATCAGCCTCATTGCACAGACCTCTTTCCACACGTCTGCGTTCAAAGGCATCCTGTGTCTGTGGGGGGGCTTTGATATAAAACCCCCAAAGCAGGAATTATCCTTTATGACTCTGCATTCTTCATTTTATGTTTTTTCAGCTTGCATCCTTAAAAAAAGGTTTCATGACTGTTCTGTGTCGTATTGTCTAAATTACTCCACACACTGGCACCAACAGGGTGGGGAAGCACGGTAAAACTACGACTACGTCTGAAAAAATGAGGTGGGCAGAGAGAGACCCATCCATCTCTGGTTTTTCTCATTGTGTCGTTTTTATCACCTATGGGCCCTGGTACATTCACTTTAGGCTGCTGGGTTTGCATTGGTTTAGTAATACCACACAGTTACCTATAGCCACAGAGTACACGCACAGCATGCGGCACAACTAGCATATGAGCACTTCATAGAAAGACAGCCATAAACCTCTGAATCAACTGAGGCTTTAGTTGACTGGAATTCATAAGTAATGGGAAAAGAAGCCGGCTTCTATTACACTCTCTTCTCTCAGACTTGGGTAATTCTGTGGTTATTGTGGTGCCATCAATGTTCCTGGCTAATGGTTACTTGAGCCCACTGAAGAAGCCTATTGTGTAGAGGATCGTTAAAATATCTGGAGCTGCTATACAGTACTACACCCTGGGAAAGAGTGCATTAACTCTAAAATTAGTAGAAAAATCTAACAATATAAACTCACTGTGGACAAATGGATGCAGGGTATCCATGAAGATGGTCATCATGCCCATATTCCCTCTTCATCGTCCTATGAGAAAAACATGGAAAACATTCATCATCATTATCAATCCATAAACCATCAGTACTTTATGTCCAAAGTCTTCAAAAATAGCATGTATGTGGCAGAAAATGGCTTAATTTTGGACCAAGCCATTAAATGTACAAACTATGGCCCAGTGGTAATGTCTTTACAAGTAGTCTAATCGCTTAATGGTACGGTCCACCTAACCCCCTGTGAATTGTAATCAAAACACTCCTGTTCATTGTCCTCATTCAGAAAATTGTGTATGATATCATAAAATGCTTTCTGCAGTGTGATTGTTAGGAATCAATAACTAAACACAGAAGGGGTTTCCTTGGGGCTGAAACTGTGCAGACAAGAGCCCTGCTAACAGGAAGGCTAATTCACTCAGACACTAACATTACAATGGTTAGCATGGCCTGGCAGCTCAGTATAGCCAAGCTCTTGCCTGCATAACGCTTAACTAGGCTGCGGCAAAGTTGAGTCTATGCTACATAAAAGCTAAAAAAACACAAGGGCCTTGGCTGCAGTCCACAGCGGCTTTGGTTGGACTGAGTGGTTGTGACAAGCTTGGTAAACTCAGTAGGCGACACCTAAGCAGCTAAGTTATAGATGTAATGGCCTTTCAATGGAACATGCTAGATGCTAAATGCTAACATGCAGTTAATGGCTGTGACAGGCCCTGTAAACAGAGCCAAGCTTATAACCACTGAGTCTGCCAGGTTAAACACACACACATACACACAAACAGGCCGAATACCATATGCTACTTCTCATAAACCTGAAGCAGGCAGCATGTTACGGCTTTGAAAAAATGAGCAACAACCCAAAAGAATATGTTGTATAATTCTGTCTCTGATAAACACTTGCTGTTTTTTATTTCCTTCCGAGGCTGCTGCCAAGTATCTGGCAGTAGTGCTGGCATGGCTAAATGAGAACAATGTGAACACAACATGCCTGTCGAACTGCACACACTCCATGCTGAAACACAGACCTGGGGTGCATCTCAAGAGGCTAAATCCACTTCCTGTGCTTGTCTCCTCTGATTAGATTTCACCTGTCCTCAGAGAAAGTCCATCACGGATTAAGTAGAGGACAGGGAGTATAGTTAGAGGATTGGGACGGACTCACTGGATGTAGCAATGAGCTTTGAATGGCATGTGGTTTGGCTCCATGGAAAAACCTGAAGTGTATTCCGTGTTCACTATTCCAGTGCATGCATTTGTGCTCATGATTCTTAAATGTGCCAGCTGGGTATTCATGTCGTTTGTATGTGTCTGTGTTTGGGCAAAAAAAAAAAATGTTTTAAATGCAGGTGTGGTCACTGTTATTCATGGCACTAGCTGGAATGGCATTGTGGTCTGCAGGGTGAGTGTGCAGACCCTCTTCATCATCATTATCATTATCATCATCAATCATCCTTCGAGTGGTGTTCCTGGACCAGGCAATACACTGAACCACTGGCCACATTTGGACATTTGAATACGGAAAGATGGTGGGAGAAAGGACTGAAGGAAAGACTGAAAGAGACATGGAGGCATGGAGAGAAAAAATGTGAGTGTGAAGAAAATACAGACAGCAGATGTAAAAGTCTCACCTCAGGGACACACACACACACCAACACACACACACTTACTGTGACCTCTGCCGAACTTCCCCATGAGGTCAAAGATCAGATACGAGGAAAAGCCATGAGGTTATTGGCTGATCTCTGTCAAAAGAGTCTGATGTTTCTCAAGCTTATGTGCTTGACACAAGAGGGAGAGCAACAGAGAAACAATGTAGATAAATAATAATCAACTGTGGATTGTGGACAGAAGTGGATGATGACATCTTGATACACATCTTTAATTTTGACATTTGGTTCCAATGCAATGTGTCAGCAGACTAGACTAAATATACACTATTTGCAAATGTACACATGTTAGGCATTGTCTTATATCAAACCTATGCTTAATAGAAAAAATATTTCAAATCTGTCCAGATTGATGAGTTATTTTGTTACTCTCTGCATTCTTAACAAGACTTCCCAGCAACCCGAATAATACTTTTTATGCTAGGCTTTTCAGCACAAACTAAATATCGCTTGCAGAGAGCTACTGTTTTATGTGTCAAACACTATAAACACTGCTGCAGTAATGTAGTGCCGGGCAGCCATTTTGAAGGAAAGATATTTACAAGTGCAAAGTAAAGAAAAGTAATGTGTGATACTAAAAAGTGACCCCCTGCAGCTAACTATTTAATATGGAGCTGACCCTTGTTGCAAATTATTCTGCAATACAATAAAACAAAGCAGGGACTTGATATCTTGATAATATCATTTTGGCAAGCCAAAACATAATATAACCTAATGACTACACAGCTAGCATTTGAAAGTGGTCCTTGTAGGATTAAAGGGTGGTTTTAAGTGTTAAACTATGTTCCATGTTATTCCCACTCTAGACTTTGATATACCATAAAAAGCTTCAAAAATAGATGTAGATTAATTCTGTAGTTGGAAAGGATGCAAATGTTCAAATAAATATACCCTGTTGTATGAGATTCTGCATGAAAAGTATGCATATGGATGTCAATCAACCCCAGACACTCACATTCTTTTAGGAATCAAAAATAGAGTTTTTCCACAGGCGTGAAAGACTAAAAGAATATTAAAACCAGCTACCCTGTCCTCTTACATATTGCTACGGTATGTGTGGTGTGTTGCATGTATATGATTGTGTGGTTTTATACATGTGCGTGTGTGGGGATCCCCAGTGCATGTTTCACTCCAATTTAGGCAGCAGTTTCAGAAACATTCATAAAGTCTATAAACGTATATTAGTGCATATCAGATAGAACTGAAGTGGAAATCCCCAGGTATTGCTCTTAAATCCCCAAACATTACATACACACACACACTTCATCTTCCTAGTTTGGAATCCCCCCAATCACAACCTCTTGACAACAATAGAGCTGTGATGAGTTTATATTGCATTGAAATAACTAAAAGCTTTTATTAGCTAATGGAAAGACAGTGAGATCGTCTGTCCTTCTTTGAAGATTGCCTTCCCTGTTCGTGATTTAATCTTGTATCAACAAAGACTCAGATGTGCACCTCCATGTGCCTCTAAACACGCACACGTACAGGCACGTACATCTCAAACACTTTGCGCTGATGACAACAACAGTTCTCTTCAGCTTCCTTCAAACAGACACATTAAGTCTGTCCTCAGGGCAGTCTGTATATGATACGCAGACAGAGAGAAGGAGCTCATATGAGAGATGAATGATGTATAAACTAATCTCACACACAAATCCCATCGATCAAAAACACTTATTTGGCAGCTTTTCCCTTCATGCCTCTTATCTAAATGATATGAATAACTGACTTGGCAGGAAGTAATGGGGTTGAGAGAGAAGAGAGAAGGGAAATTTTATGCTGCCGAGTCCAACCACAACTGACTGGCGGTGGAGATGACAAATATAATATTGCACCAACTTAAAAAAACATGAAAATGAGAGCCCAAAACATGTCTGCTTGTGTAAACAAGTTCAAACTGGGTATATGTCTGCATGTGTGTGTGTGTGTGTGTGTGTGTCCACATTCATATTGACCTGATCCATAGGGGGTCGGTGGTTAGCATGGGGGGGCCCTCTTGGCAGGCTTCGGTGATGCATGTTTGCTGGATGCAAGTGGTGAGAATGGTGAGGATGATGTTGAGGGTGAATGTGATCTTCCTCGTAGTTATCCGCTATCAGCTTCATTCTGCTCTGAGTCTGCCAAAAAAAGGAGATAAACAAGAAGATTTATAAAGCATAATTAAAACACGCGTACACAAGGCCTTTTATTTCTTCAACACTGCTTGTCTGTTCCCTTAAAAATGTTCCCGAGGCCTCAGAATGATTAGGCTGAGGGATTCTTGGATGGGGTAAAATCATGTTGAAATCCATTGAAGAGGATAAAAACAGTGCCGCTAACAACACTTGACAGGTCATAAATTGAGTGAGTCGGAGTGCCTGATGAAAGTATTGTAAGTCTGTCAAATGTCATCCGTACTGCAGATCATCATTTAATTGGATTACACGAATCTTAGTAAGAACATGTTAGTGAGTGTTTCATGTAGCCTAAGGCCACAGGCGTTCTGGCCCGGGTAAAGCAAGATCCTTTTAGATGTCATTGATTCAAATTACTGTCAAACATGTATTTTTCTGAATGCCTGTAAATGGGTATGCAAAGACTATGTGTCTTTGTTTTGTGTCTCTGCATCTGTGTGTATGTGTGGAAGAGGCTGTCATCTTGCCAACATCACTGCTTTGGAGAGAGATAACAGCATAGGATGACTAACGTTAACAATCAGCTCAACTCCATTGAGGCCAGCTGTCTGGGAGATAGACAGAGACAGAGTGGGTGCAGATATATTGACAGGCTCAGCTTTATTCTCTTAACTCCACATACTCCCCCTGAGGGTGGACATGACGGCAGAGCGGGAGGTGGGATTGTGTATGGGATGGAGATGATTCGAAGGAAAGACATGCACACATCTCTCATCCAAAATGTTGCGGCTTTCCTTGTTTAAATGAGAGACAGCCATGGCAGGAAGACACAAGAAGCCTGAGTCAGCTGGGACGATAGGAAGGAGATGGTGTTACAGTCGTAAGCGGCCTGGAGACATCGCTGCTGAGATAAGGCGCTGAAGCCTAATGACTGAGGAAACGAGCTAGTCAGGATCAAAGGAGAGGATGTGGCTAGTATTAAAGAGGTTAACAATTAGCTTAAATTGGAGAAGAGCTGGTTAGATAAGGCGAGAACACCGATAACGTGGTGAGAGGAAAGGAGAGAGACAGAGATAAAGATGAAGAGTGAGGGATGGAGGAGGACTCAGACAAGAGAGACACCAGACCAGTGGTTAGATCAGTTAAAGGCTAGGTGGAAGTGTACGGCCGGCCCTCTGTGACCTCAGGTGTCGACTCTAGCAGGTGTGACTGGGTGGGGCTGGCCTCAATGCAACAGCTGATACCTGTCATTAGGCGAGGACAATTACTATCATATACCGTGCAGCTGATGTAACTGCTGTAGTACAACACAGTACACGCTCTAGGTGCTTCCATACAGACTCTTCCCCAATGCTTACTAATGCTGCTTAATTCTGATAGAGAAATACTTTCAAAGTGAATCAGTAGCTGAGGGTCAAAAAGGCTAATGTGTGTTTAGTCTTTGCTGCTAATCTAATAAGAACCATATTGCTTGTTCCTGTTCATCTAATTACAACCATATTTGGTAGGATGAGAGGCCAAATGTCCGAGACTGTGTTTGCATACGTGTGTGTGTGCACATGTAGTTAACATTTAATGACCTCGGACAAAAACACAATTGAAAAATGTGATGAATTGCTTCTGGAAGAATCTCACTGTGTGGTCAGGACAGCCCAGATGTGGCCATCCAGTTTATTCAAACAGACACACACACACACACACACACACACAAAGACACACATGCAAAAACACACACATACACTTTCTTCTTACACACATATTCCTGTATGCATATGTGAAGAAGGTGAGCACATATAAAATGTCCGTGTGCTGGAATGTGTGCGTTATAATTAGTGTTAATTAGGCGCTTTGCAGAGTAAACAGCTCAGTAATGGCCTCCAGGCCTGCTGGTAGATCAGGCAGCCTGGAATAGACACAGGTGCCACTGCTGGGAGAGGAGAGGAGGGAAGAGGAGAGTTTTTCATTGACATCTCTAACCATAACAGATTTGGTCTGTACTGTGTGTGTGGAGTGAGTGGTCTCTGCATATGTATCAAAGTGCAGCTGCTGGCGTAAACATGGCAGTGATGATCCCGCTGCTGTGCTCACAGCTGCATCCCAAACCTCAATCCAAGCCCTCTGTAAATCACAAGCCTGTCCTGATTAGAGCAGAGCTGTTTTAACACATATGGACACAGGAGGCTGACAAGAAAGGCATTAAATACACAGCTGGGTGAAGACAGCACAAGTTTCACAACACTTATACATACTCCTTTAATCAAGTCTCTGTGTGTTTCTGTGCGTGGAACATTGCCATAAAAGCTGAGAAACACAGAGACCAATCAGGCAGATCGCTTTAAATAAGCTGTTCTAAATGGCACACCTCTGAGAAACACAAAATCTGTTTTTTTTAGCATAGAGAGAGGATAGATGTTCTTGTGCGTCCAAGAAAGAGAGGCGGGGAGGGAGAGAGAGAAAGAGGAAAAAAAGAGAGAGAAAGTCACAGAAAAATGACACACCTCTGAGGATTCCAAATCCATCTTTTCTCAGCTTCAAAGCACCAGTCACGTTTGGCCATCCATCACTAGGATGGGACAACTCAAAGAATTCCCTCATGGGGACACATTTGTTCTGACTCTCTCCTCGGGAAGTCTAAACACTACACTCTTCGTGTGTGTGTGTGTGTGTGTGTGGCTGTTTCTTTATATATATGTGTTTGTCTGTGCTGAAGAAAGCCTATGCCACAAAGGGAGACAACACTGTCTGAGAAAGGAAAGTTTGTCTTAGACGGTAGGCTTTATGCACACACACATACACAAGATCTTCCAAAGGAGGGATGTGGGGAGGTCAGGCAGGGCACTGCTATCTGTAAATCTATCTGCTGTCTACATATCAGCTTTCTCTTATGAGACTCAGAGTCCCATAATTCTTTGGCATTCCTGATCAGTTTCCTTCCGCCATTGGCTGTTGTGGACCTAAGGAAGGCAACCTATCCTTATATGTGTGTCAATGGGTCAGAAGACAGAGAGCCGGCATGTGTCATGTTGAACAACATAACCTCCAGAGAGCTCTTTCTGACTCCTTATAGGAGTGTATGTTTACCTTACAACCTCCACAACATGAATAGTTGACAAAGTATCACACTTTCAGGGCCCCTGCACTAGGAAGCCATAGCACTGCCTGGCACACCGTTGCACTTAGCAGTAGCATTACCATGGATTTAAATGCATGTTTGCCTGACGACTTTCTAAAATATAAGGCCTTCATGTATGAGAAAGAGGACACAAAGACATTTTATGTGCTGCTCACTCCTCTCTTTTCTCATCCCAACCTTTCTTTTTATCTCATCTCCTCTGTTCCAGGCCCGGAGGCTCGTCGTTGCAATTAGAGCTCATCACATCATCAGGTGGACTTTAACTGCTGGTTACCCAAAGGGGAAAACATGACGCATCCAATGGCGATAAACAGATAATAAGCTTTGCTTGAAATTCCTCGAATGGAATTGCCCCCCCTAGAAACTGTTTACCGTTTACGAGACATGAACAAACATAAGTCCGCACTAAAATGCACACCCGTCCACCGCATCTGTTGACTTTTAAATGCACCATGTTTCCCAGAAGCCCCTGTGACTCAGGAGACCGTGTATGTGGACTCCCTGCTGTTGGCTCGTTATTGTTAGCATTCACGTTAGCTCAGTCACTGATGTGGTCTGACCAGACCTAAATGACCGACATACCTTCATCTGTCTCAGGTTATATTGAGAGCCAGGACAATATGGGAAATAGGTGCATGTGCGTTTGTATATGTGTGTGCGTTCTGGGAAATATGTCTCTTTGACCAGATGATGTAAGACAGAAAAGTCCGCCAGCGACTCATCATAAACACCAACCTACGTCTGCGACTTGAGTGCATCTAATGACTCTGATTGCAACATGATTGTTAAAAGAAAAGTTTTCCTTGTGTGTTGATGTGCCTGGATTTGGAATCACAGTTTCTGCTTGACTGGTTTGGTTTATGATGACTGAACGCAGTAAATGTGGTTTGAGGGGGGGGAAGTCTACTCTGTTAACTACCACGGATTATTAACCTCTATCTGTTCCTGGTTTTGAAGTTCAAAAGTCTGCCCATGAGGCTGTCTTAGTGCAGGTAACGCTTCATCATCGGCAGCAGGTTTGAACAGTGCTGCTTTGATTCACATATCCTGAACGGTGACCGCAAGGCCAGGCTCCATTTGTTTCATGTGCAGGCCAGTCAACCTCTTAGACCAGGAGGTGCTGTAAATTGAATTCATCGTTTATATGCACATATACTTGGTGGTCATGTGTGGTGGACTCACCTGCTGTTTGAGCTGGTGCATGAGTTTGTCTTTCTCCCTCTTCAGGGCCATCACTTCTTCCTGGGCTTTTTTCCTTTTGGAGGAGGATAACTCCAGCAGGGCAATGTTAGCATCCTTCTCACTGATGGCTGCCAACAAAGCCTGCTGCCTGAGGAGATGAGAGCGGGAAATGTGGAAAGAAGCAACAGGAAAGAAGTAATGTTATTGTAAATGGACAAATATGTAATAAAAAAATGATTAATATGTATTCCTAAAATAAAGATAAGAAATTAGAATGTAGAAATCTGTTCTGTAGTCAGACAATAGACAGGTAGACAGCACAGAGACACAGCTACACTGCACCCACATCTGCAGCTGTGGGCCCATTGTACGTATTACAGATGTCAGAGCAAACTCACTTATTCCAGAGCTCCTTAAACTCAGACAGAGATTCCACAGAAAAGAGGCAGACATCTTTGAAGTGGTCTGCTAAGTGCTGTATTAATGGTACCTCAGTGTGACTCATGGACATGTAATACGGTAATGGAGTCTAATAGAGTAGGCTAAGGAGGATATGACATCTTTCCCCTGTCCCCGCTGGTTACAACAGTGTGTGTGTGTCTGTGAGTGTGCATACGGACGGGGGTGGCAACGAACGACTGTCTACAGGTGCAGAGAAAACATACCACCGAGCTTCATCACACACACAAAACCAGATGTACAAATATACAACCACAGGACTCAAGAGAATGCCTTGTGTAACCCTTCAGAAGTCTGTGCCTTTGGAGCTGATAGGTGATGACTATTGTCATCATCAAGCAGGATGTTGTAAATCCAGTGCTGTGACAAACACACATTCCACTTTTGTAAACACACGCAGAACCACAAACATATTATCATAGATAGCCGGGCATAAACCCCTCCTGTACTATGGCCATTGACCTAAATTATACTGTAAAAATATGATTAAAAAAAACAGGAGGCACAAAAACAGAACACACATTTATGTACGTATTTATGCAAGTCAATTAATTAATTGTTGATTATCTCTACAACCAGCCTAAGTTCATCTGAATGTCAATTGCAGATGTCTCAAACTGACTATCTAGTGTTTAGGCACTGAAGATATTTTAAGTTGGATGAACATAAAGTGGCCGAACACCAGACTCTTCAATCACATTTGAAATTAGGAGGGTATTAATCTAGCGTGGTAAGGTATAATGTTTTGGTTGTGTGAGGTGAGGGGTAGAGGAGGAGGTATAGATCCAAAATACACTTTGGATTTAATTAAAAATTGACCTGCATTTAGAGTGTTTTTATTCCATGATTTAGTCTCTGTAGAAATAACGCAATTGTGAAAATAAACATGCTGTACTCAGAATAAAGTCCTGCTGATCTGGGACTCCAGATTTGGTGTTTTTAGTACAATTATCTGCACGCCGCATCTGGATTCTCCCATTCAAGGCCATTAATAGGCCTTTGTGTGTTTTTGTGTGTGCTTGCATGTTGTGCATGGGTTTGCGAGTGCATGCACGTGGGTTCTGACATAGATCGGAGAAACTAATCACACCATTAATCACAGAGCAGGACCAACGTGACACTTTTCGTCTCCCCACACCTCCACTGTTATTCCTTTTAATGCTCAAAGTAATGGGAACACACACACACACACACACGCACAGACCCACGTTGGACTTGTACCAGAGCATGTGCTTTAGAATGCAGGTTTATTCTGCTTGACCTGTCCATTTACAATGTAAAAATGGGGCAAGAAATTCTTACAGTAAAAAACTATCAAGAAATTCACAAATGAAACAGCGTCACTGATTTTTAAATCCCTCCACACCCAGTTTTATATCCATGGCCTAACAAACCCAATGATTAATTTTACATTTTAAAGTATGGCACAGTGGAAATCGTAGTTCCATTCCTGTATCTTTGGCTGTGTCACAAGAGTAAAGAGGTGACGCGCAGAGTCATATATGGGCAAGTAATGCAGCACAATGTGTCACTGTTCATAAACAATGTGTCAGATTAACAGCCCTACTCGCAGGATTACCATCTTTACAGCACAGTGCCGGACAGGGGAACTCCAACATCAGGACACATCCTAATAGTCTTATGGTCACACGTTTTCCTCTTTTAGCACTGACTGCATGCAACCACAGCTTGAGAATTGTGTCAATCTAGGTCAGTATGTGACTGTTAATACACACAAAATAACTGGACACTGAGCTGAAAAACATACCATTGGGAATGGGACAACCTTTTTGCAATAATTAGACAATCTAAGTGGGTTATGAATTAAATGCAGGGCCTACTTAATTGAGTGCAGTGACAGGTTAGGGGCACTAACCCCCCACCCTAGTTTTAAAGGGTAGGTTTATCTAATCTGTGAACCAAACAAAGGCTCATTTTTTTTCTGACAAGCACAGAGTCACTTAATGAAGGACTGTTACACCCCCATTCATCAAATTGCCTCTGCTGAATCAACTGATGAAAGACACGGTTTTGGTGTTACTTACCAAAAAAAGATAAGGATGTGATACTTTTTTGATTCCAGCAAGAGCTGCAGTGACACAACCCATCTAAAAATAAGCCATACACAAAGCCCAAGCTGTCTCTCTACATTCTGACATTTTAGTGACATTGCAGCAATTGCAGATCTCTACAAGGAAGCTACACCCAAAAATGTTATCTTTTAATGACCAGAATGTGTGCTGCTGTTTGTGAAGACATGGCTGTCACATCCATCACACGTGCACTCCCTAGCACAGGTACAGACTTTCAAACTGAAAATTATTGATGGACCCTGAGACGTTCTGAACCCGACTAAATTAAACCTCTGAACCAAGGTGGCTGCCATGCTGCAGTCCAAGCTAAATCACTTCCAGGCTCTAAATTAACACAGCAGATTACAGAGCTGTCTCTCTGTGGGTGCTCTCTGAGTTGTACTGCAGGATTGTACTGAGTGATGTCTTCCTAAAACTATAAAAAAAGGGGCATTATTATGATTAGCCAGCCTGTACACTTTGTCTCCCACATCCTCAATCAGTGATTGTGTGTGCATGGTGTGTGTGCCTGGTTGTGTGTCCTGACTCCTGATTAGTATTACTTACAGTCTTTGAACCTGAATCACAGTGGAGCATTTAATCACATCTAATTTGAGTGGCCATTTGGCCTTAGTTGTTTTTTACACACTTGCAATGTACATGAATCTAGCGGACAGGATTCATCTATCAGAGACACACACATACACACACACACACACACACACACACACACACACACAAAGACAAATGCTTGTACTGTATTGGCTGGCTGATCTTGGAGGTGAACCTCTTCTCTTTCCTCCCCTCTTTTCTCACTCCTTGCTTAACTTAGACTTGGCGAGTCCTGGACAAACAAAGGATTATCTTCATTTCTTTTCCGATTGAAAGGGTCGGCAATTAAATGTTTTTTTATGACAAACTTGTGATTCGTCCTAATAAAAGTCAGACCCCATGCATTAAAAAGTCATAAGGCAGTCTAATAAAAGGACAAATGAATCATGCTGCTGGATGTCATGTAAAAATCTTGTGTACTTTACTGTTTCTATTTTATGAGATACCAGTATATATGCTCCTCATATATACTTTAAGTAGTATAGATTGAGCATGCAAGGCTCTGTGGAAAAGCATAGGCGGGACTGACATGGAATTCTCAGCTGAACTACAACATGTGATTCCAATTGAACCTTCATGGTCCCTGGGACATATTGAGACATTTGGATCGACAGAGGTGGGAGATGGATGGCTAAAGTACATGACCATGCGATAAAAAGTGAGAGGAAAATGGGGGTCGGTACAGACGATACGGAAAGAAAAACTGGAATGCAAAGAGCGAAATAAGAGAAGGGTAAGGAGATGTGAGGCGGGAGAAGATAATTCGGGACAAAAGAATAAAACATTAGGAGAGAACACTTTGATCAAGACGTCTTTGAGGTGGGGCTGCTGTTGAAGGACGGCAGGCCAGACAGATTTCTGGGTGACGAGGGGTTAAGATGGGGTCAAGAGTGAGAGCGTAAACACAAATGCATACTTTTGCAAAAAAACAAATTCAATGACAGCGGATGTCAGGGGAGGAGTACTAAAGAATAAAAGAAATGAAAAGAGATGAAGGCAATAGTACATGTTTGACAAGAGTGACTGCCACCTGTACTGCATGAGAGGAAAAAAGGGGAAGAAAAGGAGAGGAGGAAGGGAAGAAAGGAGCAAAGGTAAAGATTTAAGAGTCCCAGCCGACCCTAAATCAGCTCAGAGCACTCCATGTTGTTATTCCTAGGCGTCATGGTTGAGGGATATGTGTTTATAATTTGTGTTATGACTTACTTGAAATTATGAGTGTCGAGAGTCAGTGGGACAGAAACAGATGCGTCCATGTAATGCCCGAGGGAACCATCAATACTGTCTGCCCCTAAGCGCAGTGTATGCATGTGTGCGTGCATTTGCCTGTCTGTACATATTTCTGCTTTCATGTTCTCATGTGCATGTGTAATGTATTTTGTTAGCAAGAACATGGGGAGCCCACTAATATCTGTTCCCAGACCATCCATTATAAGGTCTTCTAGTTTGTGATCATGCCCTTCAACCACTTAACTGTCCGGCTCTGCAGAAACATTCCATGTGCATTTTATGGCCGTTCCTTGATTATGAGTGTGAAGATGCGGCACAAGGCCGAGGGCCCCTGGCTCAGCGGTACTAGAGGCCTGTGGTGAGAGCAAGCAGAGGACATGAGGATGGGGCATGGTTGAGTGACACTATTATTTATGGCCTTGGAACATTGTGTTATTTACAACTGAGGAGGTACGGAAAATGTCTATCTCCAACAAAAAACACACCCTGGCTTCATTTGGAAAGCTTGCTGCAAAGCCAATTCAGATGGTAAATCTGTGTTTCAAGTGTAAATGTGAATACAATGTTGTTTTTTTAGGTAAAGCCAAATTTTGGCTCCATGCTAACCTGTAGCCGCTAACCTCAAGCCACATACCAGATGCACTTATTACCCACTTCCTTCCGAATGCTTGCCTGGATGAAAGGCTTTTTTTTATCTTAATTGATAAGATAGGAGTTATCCATCAAGCAAGAATGCTAAACTACATGCAAACCTTGAGCTGGGCTTCCCAAGAAA